CGCACAATACTGATTCAGTCGAGGCTGGAGTGGTGGATTCAGAGATGAAAAAGGAAAAAAAAAAACTCTCAGGCATTTGCTCTTGTATCTCAGTTTTCTCCCAAGAAAAAGACCCACAGTTACAGTCTGAGTACCAGACACTGCACGTAGGCGCTCGTGCAATTCAAAAAGTCTTTCATCCTTGCAAGGCCCTGCTGAGAAACAGTTTTGTTCCAAGATGAGACTTTTCAAATTATGCAGAGTCGAAAATGACAGCACATTAATGCACCTTTTAAGAGGATAAAAGCAATCATGACTGACAGAACAATAAAACCTCATGAGCACAAGATCTTCTTTCAAGTAATTTTCCTCCTGAGTTTTTTTTTTGTGTGATTTGTTTCATTAATTCACACCCACAGTATATCAGAACAAGAGTCTACAGCTCTCTGAGGATGTGTTTGCAAAGCACTGCTTTGAGCTATATGCTAATGCTAGCATGCAATGTCAAATTGTTATGCTGGTATAATGTTTTCCATGTTCACCATCTCAGTTAAGTGTGTCTGCATTGTTAACATTTAATTATTAGCAACAAACATCAAGTACAACTGTGTCACATGAATTAATTTAGTAAAAAGTGTGATAAATGGTGCTGGATGAAAAGTCAGGGGATCACCAAAGTTGTTACAGTTCATCCTGAAGGGGACATGAATTGCAAATTCCACTGCAATCCATCCAATAGTTGAGTTGTTGTTTCACTCGAAAAAACAGAGGCAGACCTCATGGTGGTGTTGAAAAGTGAAAGTCATCCTTGAAATAGTTGTTAAGATGATTTAGACTAAAGTGGTGGACTAACCATAAGGCTGAAGCACAAATGTATGTGTGGTCCCTTAGAGTAGCTGTCCTTAGTCTTTCAGATCCTGTGCATTTGACACTATTATTCATAGTATGTAAAGACTTGAGACATGAGCAGGACTTGTGTCACATTTGATAGCGATTGCGGAGTTCCTCAAGGGAGCATACTGGGCCCATTCTATTTTGTGTATACATGCTACATTTGGGCAACAGTCAGTCACTATAGTGACTATATATATATCGCTGTTATGCAGATGATACACAACTGTATATCTTTGAATAAGTAAGTGAATAAGCCCTGTCTAACTTAGAATGCTGCCGAAAGGGTTTTGACCAATACAAAAAACTAAGCACTGGCTTTCTGCACATTTTTCTGAATACATTTCAAACTCAATTTACTTGTTTATAAAGCCAAACACAACTTAGCAAAACGAATTGGTGATCCTGACAGTATGAACTGACTTTGGTGATCCCCTGACTTTTACTCTAGTGCCACTAGCAGGTCAAAGTTTAATTTTGTTCAGTACTTTAGGTTATAGCCATACACAAAACTCCCATCATCTTCAGTTGTAATGTTTTGTGCTAAATAACAAATGTTAGCATGCTAATACTGAATGATTAACATCAGCGTGTTTGCATTTTCAGGGCCACAATTTATTTTCTCGTCTTCCACTCATGTAGGAGAAACTACGATGTGCAAGGTCCCATTTAGAGCCAGTGTCTGGTTTGTTCATTCATGACAGACTCTGTAGAAAAGCTCCTTAGATAAAAACGGCTAATTCTAAGGTAACAAAATCACAATGATTGTTATTTTCAGGTTATATATGACACGTTAATGAAAACAAACCCATGAATATTATGTTCGATTTCTGCAAATAGATCCTCAGAAATGTTACACACTGGACCTTTAAGCTCAAAACATGGCTGTAGACTCTTATTAAACAGAAAGCCATATATTTTTAATCTGGTTTTTAATTTGGATTAATCCCACAATGTCAGGTCTCTTATAATTTCCATTGGTTTTAGTGTTATTGTTTTTAACGTTTTATTAAATTGATATAAAACTTTTGACTTACTGCCTATTTCCATTATTGCTTTCAGCTTAACTTTGTTTTTAATCTTGTTCAATGAGGCTGCATCTGTCCAAACACACATCGGAGTATAAATATGGTGCATCTTGGAGTAAAGAAATGCAGATTTGTGACATTCATGTTACATTGATAGTTTTCCAGAAGCGAAATCAGTGGGAGCTGAGAGCCTACTCGTATTCTTAGCCCTGCACAGTCCATAACATATCAATTATCCCTGATTACTGCGCGTCGTGAGGGCAGCACTCCTGCTTGTGCTATTATATCATCCCTCTAAATACCACCAAAGCCTTTTTTCTTCCCCCCACTGCAATGACACTATGTAACCATTCATTACTGTAGATCTGAAGCTCCAGAGTCGCTTTAAAGCCTCTCTATCCGTCCATATCTCACACTACTTCATGTTGCCTCACATCTTCCTAACCCCATACTGTGATGGTGGCTCCGGTCTCCTAGCAACCAGCCCTCTTAGAGGAGGTGACAGCATTTGAGTGGGCACCCTCACCTCTCCACATACAACCCGTCCCCCCACCACCAACACCACCACCACAATGCTCACCCTCCCTCCCCTTCATCATCCCGATGCTCTTCAAGTCAACACCTCACTCTGTGGTGCAGTCTGCTTCATGCACTTCTGCTTTAGGGTCACCATAATAGTCAGAAAATGAGTTTGGATTGTTTTTTTAATCAATGAATCACTGTGTGTCTACACTCTAGTAAAACAGTTCATAATGTGGTTCTTTCATATTTCATATTTATTTGCGACCTCGATGCTGAACTTATTAATTGGATTTTCGGCAATGTAATCCAGAGAGATATCAGTTACATTCATTAGGTCACAGCTGGCTGCTGACTTACTTTTTAGTGCCACAACAATCCCTGGTTTCCTATTACTTTACATTTTAATGATCCTAATGAGGTGCAACAGAGAGAACTGGTACCAAGATCTCTTTCAGCAGATACTCTGGGGGCCTCAGATTCTGTATATTTGGAGGAAAAAAGTTGGATTTGGTCATAAATGTTGGTACTCCATTAATAAATACTTTAATTGGTTTCTCACTTTCTGGTAATCTATCAGGTCGGCAGTAAATATATAAATGTACATATAAAACATTAATTTTAAAAGGTTTTTCTTACATAAAACAATCAAGTCTGGAGGTGTAAATGTCTACAAAGTTGTTAATAGTCTGTAACACTTTATTGGGATGTTTATTATATTGTAAATTCTTTATTAGGAATAACCCATTGAGACTATCTTGTTTTAAAAAGTTACACAATAACATATTTAAGAAAGATAACAACAGTTTAATTAAACCAAATGTGACAAGAACATACAGACACAAAAACATAAAAAACAAAACAACAAAAATCCAATAAATATCAAGACAAAATCAGAGGATCGTTCTCTAAGATTAGCACTTTAATTCATAGTTTAGAGTCTTTTTTATTAATGTCAGTGAAAGCATTAAGTAATAGAGTTACAACCTCTATTATTGTAACTATGGACGTGTACAATTGATCCTATAATAAGAAGACAGGGCATTTTTAAACAGGTGGTGAGATGAGATGGACCGAATGTTTACAGATTTTCCAATCAGAGGGAGCTTTAAACATGAAGGCTTTTCTTAGCTATCGACTCAACAATCAACAATAGTGTTCTGATATTTCACCACTGTGGTTACAGTTTATGTTCAGGCACAAAAACATCTCGGTTATGGTAAAGAATTGTCACATATACTTTATTGATAATCTCTTAAACATCTACAGACAAAGCAAAACAGTTGAAATGTTACAAATACTCTATAAAGTCTGATAACATTTTATCTTCTGGCAGTCATTTATTCATTCAACAAAACATTTGTACAAGGTTCCGTTAAAGTGAGCTGTTGAAGAAGTATGTTCGAGATGTGTACGAAAATATAAACATATTGCTCTCTACTGGACAAAATACGTAATGGAGACAATCAAACAGCCTCAAATACTGATTTATCTGCAGAGTTTTCTTATAACTGATCTATAGAGAAGTTGTAACGGACTTATTATGAGAGGCGTCGTAAACCCAAGTGAACTCCGCCTCTTTAAAGTGTGTTTATTCATCTATTTTCAGATCAACTGTATCAATCAATGAGGGATAAACAGTTTGTGCACAGTTTGCACCAACAGAGTTTTCTTGCTACAATTCTTAATAAAGCCATTAAACCAAACAGTAACTAAAAGCCACTTCAGGAACTTTTCATTTTGTGGTGATTCTGGCGGCCCCTGTGGACAAAAGCAGTAGTGTTTCCACCGCCTTGTTTCATTGATTTCAAGGGGAACCTTGAAACTGGTTGGCAGGCATTGAGAATATAAAAATAGCCAATCTTTTCACACAGTTCAACATTTAATTCATGAGTGTTCACACTGCAAGCATTAGCGCTCAATTTTGATTTATTGCTCAGATCTGGGTTGTTATTTATTTCTGTTTGGGTGTTTAGATTCTTTAAATGTGGCCCATATCAGACTCCAGTGTGCACAGGTCACGGCCAGCGCCAGTGACTCGAGATATAAGTCACATGAATTCTGATATGATTGGTCACATTGCAGAAAAACTCTGACCTGAATCTTATTTGGACGAGAAAAGAAAATTCAGATCTGAAAAGATCAGATTCAATGTGGTTTGTGCTGTTCACACTGTCATGAAAAAGGTCACATATGAGCGAATAACATCAGATTAAGGCCACTTTTTGCCATTGTGTCACTTTAAATGTAATCTAACGCACCTTTAAATGTTTTTATATGGACAGAATAAAACCAGAAATACTGAATTGTATCCTAAATAGAACAGAGTTTACCCCAAAATGTTTTTTATTCTTCACATTCTGATGAGTAGGTTGATTAAGAGTATGTCTTTTAGCCAGTATTGATTACTATCTAAACATTTTATATGGCTGCCATCTATTTCTCAGTGATTCCCAGTGAAAGTTGCCTGTTTTTCTATGTCACATTTGTGTTTTTAATCCAAACAGAATATGTGTCTGTTGCCATGTTTCTGACTCGCCACGTCGGCCGTGATTAAATGTAAATCACATCACGCTGCGCTCACATTTGGGCTGCCCGGAGCCACACTGATAAAATGACGTGAGTGGTTGACGATGCTAAATGGCAGCACTTGAAATAGCCTACCTGCCAGCCTGCGCACCCACTTGCTGATGCGATCACGACCCCATTAAGAGCGTTTCAGCTACCGCGGCGCGCTGGCCAGCTCCTCCGTCCGGTTTCTCCCCTTCAGGACGTTCAAATCTGAGGAGGAAAGTGGAACTCGACCCAGAAAAAAACTCATTTGTTGACTGCAGTTTGTTTTTTCTTGTGTCTCCACTTTAAGGAGCTTTAACTTTAAAGTCACAGAGGGGAAGAGATGGATATTGATCGACCGACAAATGTCTCCTTTTTTGATTTTGTTGGAGGAGTTCAACTTCTCCAGGGGGAGGACACCAGGACTGCCATGCCTGTCATCCTGATCGGGATCTGCGTGTCCGGAGCGGTTGGGAATTTGCTCGTTTTGCTCATTTTCATCCGTGACTTTAGGAACGGGAAGGGCTCCGAGGTGAAAGCTCTCCTCGCCTCTCTGGCGTCCACGGACTTGGTGATCCTGCTGCTGTGCGCCCCGGTGCGCGCCGTCACCTACTACAGGCAGACCTGGACCTTGGGGAGTTTTGTCTGCAGCACCACGGACTGGTTCCAGCACTCGTGTGTGGTTGCAAAAACTTTAATCCTCGCGGCGACCACAAGAGCCAAACACACATTTGTTCCCAGCACCGCCACGGGGCCCCTCTACAGCCCGACGTGGATTCACGGAGCCCTGGCGTTCATTTGGATTGTGTCCATGATGTTTCCGATTCCCCAGATGCTTTTCGCCTCTTTGGTGCCGCATGGCAGCGACACTATTTGCGTCTCTCAAATGCCAGTGTGCGCGTCTGACTTCATGAGTTTGTTCTACAAGATTTATCCAACCGCAACCTTCGTGGTGCCGATCTCCTTCACACTTGCCTACTACACAAAAACGCTGCACTCCGCGGTGAATCACGCACCGAGCCCGCACCACCAGAGCAAGGTTACCCTGGTTCTGCTGTGTCTAAGCGGCGCCCTCGGGCTCATGCTGCTGCCAGAGTGGGGGACATTCACCTGGATCAGGCTCGGCTACAACAAACCTCCTGTGGGGTTGATCATCTTCGCGCAAGTCCTCCTTTACGCATGCAGCTCCCTCTCTCCGGTGATCCTGATGACCATGTACGACGACGTGCGCCAGGGACTGATCGCCATCTGGCTCATCGCGAGCTGCAGGGGCTCAAAGCAGCTCCCCAGCGACAAGTGTCCCAAAACGGAGGACAACGGAGCAGAACTCGGAGCCAATGCCGTCGCCAACGCGGTCTCACCGGAGAAGGAGAAGACCTTCCCAGATGTGGAGCACTTTTGGACAGGGCGCAGGAATACGCACGTCGAGGAGGAGCAGGATCCGGTTCCGTGGGAGAGAGAGGAGAAAATGTTGTAGAATCAGACGTGAAAGTGTCTTTTTTTTTTTCCCTTTTTAAAATCAAAAGAGTTCATCTTGTTCTCAGCTGGTTTCTAGTCCGTTTGACCCGCAGTGCTGACCCCTCGTTGAACGGCTGTAGTGGCCTGTTTGCTTGTCGTGAGTTTTGATTAGATGTATAAAATAATAAACTTGTACACTCTCATGTTTTGATGTTACACATGTTTCTACTATCTATTTTGAATATTTGTTCTTGCCTGCAGTACTTGCTGCGTTGTCAAGTAGAATAACACCTTTATTAGAGGAGGTTTGTACAAATGTGAAGCCAGCACACTCAAACATCCAGGGGGGGTTTGTTGTGATTGTGTACGTGTAATGCATAACGTGGATATTAAAACATTCTCAAATATGGACTCATCTGGGGTTGTTGTTTTTTTTAAAGGCTATAAAAACACTCAGCCCACCTTAATCACGGATAAAATGCCATTCGACCATCAAATCTCTCTTTAATTCAGGTTATGAGATGACATTTACCGTGTAAACATCAGATCATTTCCATCCATATTAAATTCACAACTAATCCAGCTGCACGTTGGAGGTCAAGTCAATCATAATATATCATAAAATGTTCAGAGGAAGCACCATTTTGGCTGTTTTATTGAGTGGAAATGTAAGAATGAGGAGCAATAAAGACAAATATAGCCTGATTCAGTAGGTTGCCATTAAAGTGCATTATGGTGGTTTTATTTAATAGGGTTTATAACACAATATAATGTAGTTGTAAGCTGATATATATGGTCTTTATATATCTTATATGTACGTTTTTATTGATGTTAACTTTAACAGCTGGATGTTCTATAAAGAAATAATGAATGACATTATAATGTGTTCTTATGGGATAACTTCTACTAAGTAGTATATAAACATATAATTCATGGTTCATAACACACTATAATGTATGCAACTATATGGACGTTCAGCCATATTACTACTAGTTTTTATATTTATATGCTGCTTATAAATGCTCAATAGGGAGACCTTAAAGTGCTATCTGTACTTATACATTAATAAACACTTTACAATGTCCTTATTACTACATTATAATGTGTTATAAACAGTTTATTATGTTTATATGCTGCTTATTGCTGATAAATCTGGAGGGTTAAAGTCAAGTTTCTGGTTCGTCACATCATTTATATTCAAGTATTTAGTTGTTTTCAACATGATGAAGGCAGATAAAGTGAATAAAAGACTAAATAAAGTAGTAAAACATCTCTGAGTCATTACTAAAGCCTTTATTAGACAACATTGGGTTCGTCATATGAGCTCATTTTGATTTCTTGTGCAGTAAAAACAGTTTATTCACCTTTCACACTGTTAAAATAAGAAATGAAGACTTTTTAGACACTTTAAAATCCTCAATGTGGACATTGTTTTGGTCTGATGTGTAGTGGATGGACCTCCTCCACCCCACATGACCTGCGTTAACAGTCTAACCTTTCAGTGCTCGCCAAAAGAAAACCTGCTTTTAGTCGTCTGTGTGTTTACCAGTAAAGCAGTGGCCGCCTGTGGCTCCGACGCCCCGGCAGATTTGACATTTTACTCTGCCTGAGTGAAAAGAAAGGTTACAGGTTGAAGAGGAAAGAAGAAAAAAAAACAAGCCTCTAAAGCTCTTCAGTATGATTGTGCTCCTGCACATAATTTATTCATTGACGATAGACCATGTCTCCAAATGTCTGCCCTTGGGTCACTTGGTTTTTCATTTTTGTATTTTTACAGTTTTCCATCAGAGCAGGAAACTAAACTGAATAACAGATTTTTTTTCACCAGCCAATCAAGGAGTTCATTTAATATACAAATCTAGAAAATTAATTCTCCCACAATTCTGTCCTGTATTTTTTTCCTCCTAGATTAATTAGAGATAGAGACACTGCCATGTGCTCATAAGCTTTCAGGGAATAAATTATAATGTAAGAATAAGAAATATTAAATGTAAAAGTCCCTAAAGTCTAGAGGGGACAAACTCTAATTCTTGGTCCCTTTACAGATTCTGAATTTATCTGCAGATATCTTTTTATCAAGATTAATGTTGTCCAATGTCTATTGATCATATGACAAAACGATACAATGTACGATTTATTTTCTCCCCAGGATGGCGAAGTCATAACGTGGCCCCACCCTACTTTGCCTCCGACTGGCGTACATTCCTAACCTAACCTTAGCCAATCTCATTCCTCATGTCTAATAAACCTAACCAACCACACCAATGAAGACAACAAGTGCTAACCAATCAGACGCAGCGTAAGGCGAGTTATGACTTTGCCACCCTGGAGGAAAAAACATTGCAGTACGTTAGCTAGGAACGCTTTATGATAGTGTGCACTGGAACCAGTCGTAACTACCTTATGCCACTGCACCAAACATTATATTTAAAAAACATGTGTAACAAACAACAACAAACAAATAGGCCATAAAAATACGATTCATAAAGATAAAATATGTACACACAGAGCACTGGAGCACTGATCTCACCCTCCTGCAGACAAACACACACTCATATAAACAGGATAAAACCTAATCAAAGGATTCACAGAGAAGTTTTTGGCCTGGTTTTTAAAAGAGGTTGGTGTTGACGCACAACTCAGAGCGTAAAAGCAGTTTCCCCTGCTTTCGGGTTATTACTTGAAAATAAAACATTTAAAGGTTGGTGCCGAAAGGAGCTGATAGACTCTGACAAACAGTCCATTAAGAGCTTTTTAGACAAGCAGCAGAACAGGAAAGTTCACTGTCAAGATGATGTTTAATTCAACCTCAAGCACTAAAACAGAAAGCCTGTTTGTATTCAAATTAACTGCACTAACAGATTCTGCACGAGGGGGACCATTATCATACTAATGGAGCTGAAGAGACAAATATCAATATTCTCAGACTGATCAGACGGAGTCTAAATCCTCATTTTGCTGTGGGACATTACTGCTGTGCTGTTTTAGGTTTAGAAAACATTCAGGTGCAATTCATATAAACTCACAAAATGACAACTAACAGATCACTGCAACATCTTATACAGTCAGAATTTACATTATGTTGTCGAACACAGAGAAGTTTGCTGAATGAGATTTTCTAAAATCTACATCCTCCCAAATCTACTGGTATCAGGTCTTTTAAAAAAACGGTCAAATAAGATCTAGTTGTGGAGGTTAATATTGTTGGTTCACGACTATTTCACTCAACCACCAGTAAGGATCAAAGTCGTCTTACCAACATCTCTTTCCAGGCTCCTGCGGATAGCTTTGTAGTTGCAACCTGATATCAGATGAAGGAAACATTTGTTTTTATTATCAGTTGCACAAAAACTTACAATAAAGTAAAAAACAGTAACATGCAGAGATATATAAAATGATAAATTACGACTTTACCTGGTAGTGCACATAAACCAAGCAACTGCAAGCACTCCACTATGGACAGAGGTAACCTTAAAGCCAATCACAATATAATATACATGAGCACAGCGACGCTTGTTTTATATTTTAACCATTCAAAAACAATCACTTGACAGAAATCTCACACTTTTTGGTAGCCCAAGACAAAAAGTTAGCAGGAGATGTGAAAAGGTGTCAGCTGTTCCTCTCCGACCTCCTCTTCTTCAGATGAGTTTTACGTTTTAGGGTTGGTTCGCTGTTAATGTCAAGGTCAATATCAATGTCTTTATCAGTGCCTGAAATGGATCGGTACTCACCAGGGCTGAGTAGCACCAGTACAGGACCTCAGTATTATAGAAGTTACAATAGGTATACAATAGAAGTAGTGAAATAATTGCCTTAAAAACAGAAAACCTGGATCCTGGCACGCCTGCATATATCGTGTCTGTGTGTAAACTAAGAAGCTAAGAAAAGAGCCGTGAAAATAACAAGGATTTCAAATGTTATAGTAAATAAGAATGTGTTTAAAAGAAGCTCACCTAAAGGTTTGTAATACATTCAGTAATGTGCATCGTATGTGCAGTGTAAGTAAGAGCAGTTGAGTGCAAGGGCCCCAACTGATCAGTTAAATAAACAATACAAACCTGCAGCAAGTATTCACAGTCTTTTTATATACAAATATGTGTGATTGTAATTAAAACCACGGAATCTGTAACCTCATTAAGCAGAATAGTGTTCATGTAATATTTATTTTGTTTTATTAAACTTTAAGCATCATTTTACTGTAATATAACTGGTTGAGGTTGATTGATTGATATGGGTTGATCAGAAGTTACTGTATTTATCAGAAAATTTCTTACAGAACAGCCCCATAATTGAGCTCCAGAGCAATTTGTTTTCTCACAATAGTCAGAGTGAAAGTTGCTGCACAGATATTGACACAGTTTCCTTTATTATTATCTAAATTCAGCCGAGTACTCGCTCAACCTTAATATTCCTGTAGGTGTACCGCAGGCCATTTCTCATCTCCTCTGCTGCCTTTATAGGTTAAAAACCACCACTACATATCCAACCTCTAACCCTGACGGTGTCTGAGTTATCCAGGTCCTGGCTCATACAGGCACTCACAGTTCAAGCATACACAACTTTAATGCACTTAGCAGAGAATCAGGGTCGAGGTCGAAAGACTTCCTTATAACCCAAAGCGATCTGTGACAAGTCTTCCTGCTGACTCCTCATCCCTCTCACTGATAAGATGAAGCAGTGTTTGAATGAAAAGAAAATCAAACATCCCCCACTATTGCATGAAAGCAATGATTTTATGAGATATTTAATGTCCTCAGAGGGAAAGTATGTGGCAGTATCCATTATCCCAGTGTCTAAAAAGCAATAATGAAGCCTGTTATGTAATGCAGCCACAGTTCATTTGGCCATTTAAACATAATGCTGGCATAAAAAGAAATGAAACTGCCTCTGGGGGATAAAGTCAATAAGGTCCCATTTCTACTTTACATATATGCTTTACAGAGGAGGCAGAGCTCCCTGTAGCATGCACATAGTTAAACACATCAACGAAAGCCATCTCAGCCATCTCATTCATCATTCAGTCGGAGAGCTTCTTCACATGTCAGTGAAGGGTTAGGCGTCTATGCTCGAGATTGAACTGATGAACTTTAACCAAGGTCTGAACTCACGCTACGCTCGCACAAACTGATAAAGCCGTCGGGTTGGATGAGCAGGAGGATCTGACGGCTGACATGACTTCACATATTGTAAAGAAAACCCTTGTTTTGATCCCACTAGCTCGAGTTCATGTTGATGTACTCACAGGATGAACAGAGCCGGGATATAAAAGTTTCACTATGTTCTCAAGCACATCGAATTGTAGTGGAGGAATCTGCACATTTACTCAACAACTGTGCTTGAGTAGGAATTTGAGGAGCTTTCACTTCCCTCGAATATTGTCTTTACATGTCACTTTCTACTCCTCTT